CTAAAATGGCACGCTTAGGCTAGAACATTGGTGATGATAATAACAATAATAATAACAACAACACTGCTATACATTATTGCCTTTAAATGGAAAAAGCATCCAAAATAGGATGTTTAAAGTAAAGGAAATGCTGTCTAGATTTTAGACCGTAGCCGTATTCTAAAAAAACGGTTAGGCCAAGCATCATGAAACGCATGTGTAGATCCCTTTAAAAAGTGCTGAAGTTTCTCTAATTAAACCTAAAACTCCTTCCATTTAAAGAGAATCATTCTCAGCAAGGAGAGAGCAAAAGGCCACCATATCAGCCCGCTGTCCACTCAGAACGGGAGGGGGTGGCAATATGAATAAGATCAGACAGATAAGGAGGGGCAAGATTATGAATAGCTTTAAATGTGTAAAGAATGATGCTATAGTCAATCTGGAACAACACAGGCAGCCAGTGAAGCTGCTTCAACACAGGGGTAATGTGATGAGAGGAAGGGGTTTTGGTGATGATACGGGCGGCAGAATTCTGAACCATTTGAAGTTTCTGAAGGGATTTGTGAGTAAGACCAAAAAGGAGAGAGTTACAGTAATCAAGACGTGAAGTGACCAGACTATGAACAAATATTGCAGTGGTATGGGGAGTGAGGGAAGGGCGAAGGCGGTAACTTGTCTAAAACAAGTAACCAAAAGTTAAGCAGTGTCAGCTATGTCCAAAACATATGCACTGAGGTAGCTGGTTCCATCTTATAATCCTCCCTAATCTTGGATAGTCTTGCCTTAGAACAGAACTACAATGTGTTTATCTTCACCTGTTCTTGATAGGCTGATGCAAAATTCAGGACAGATGTTTCCACAGGATGAATCCTACTGACTGTAGGGATGATTTTCAAACCCATCACTGAGGAGAAACATTTCAGTTAGGTACCACCATACAGTACCATTAAACTGATACCGTCATTGCATATGAACCTCTTTCTCTTTCCATTTTTTTCTTTCTCTGTACACTGTGGATTATGAAGCAGAAGGTAAATCGTTAATAAAATAATAAGTAATGATTCTGATGCATTCATACAACAGTGGTCCTCAACGTTTCCTGTTTATTTATCCATGCGTTGACCTGCCTCCAGTGCAGGAAGACATTTGTACACCAGACTTAGATTGCACGTTTTTTCCCTGCAGTCTTTCTATAATGATTTCTAGATGAAGTCTACAGGATGAAAATGTCACAAAACAATGCAGAAGACAGAGCTGACAGTTTGTTTTTCTTATCACTCTACATGTAGAGTATATGAGCAGCAACACTGTGGCTTACAACAGGATGTAGCTGCATGAGTGCAGCTGATTAGGATAGAAATACACTGAACAAGTTCTGAGCCTTCTCCCTACAGAAGACAGCAGCCAAGTCCTCATGTTTCCTCTCTGAGAAAAGAATGATCCCCATATCTGCCTTCCACTGCTCTGCCGCTCTCCTGAGCTCATTATAAAGGTAGCTATATTTTTAATACCATGTAAGAGAGGCACTAAGGGATAAAAGTGGCAACTTGTGAAGTGTGAGGCTGACATATCTGACAGCAAGAGAGGAAAGAAGGAGAGTGAGGGAAAGAAAAATACAGAGGAAACACTGAGGTCGGTTACTAGAACTGAATCAGGAAACGAGAAGAGTTATTGTGTGGTTAGAGAGGATCAAAAGAGGAAAGTCAAAGAACAAAGTAAAGTGGAGGGATGGAGGAGATGAAAATTAGATGAGGTTAAAAGAGACAACAGTGACATTAATGCTGAAAAACAATATGCGAGGGGGGGAATGAAGAGGAGGTGAAAATTACAATGAGTGAACAAAGCTCTCACACAAAGCTTGAGAGAGGAAAGATGGTGAACAATGAGGAAAAGGGGGGAAGAGATCAAAATAGAGATGGAGTGAGGGAAGGAAAGAAGAAGAAAAAGAGAGAGAAAGCTGGAAAAAAGAAAACGGGAACAGAAAGAGGAGATGGGGAGGTGACACGTGGTAGCTGCGAGGGGGACAGCTGGTCAGCGGCTGCTCTGCTCTGGTGTGGAGAGCTGCCCTCAGGACAGACACCCTGCTGCGCTCGCACACAGAAACCTGCTCGTGCATGTACGTATACACACAGCCACACACACAGTGTGTGGCGAGCAGAGACTGGGGAGCTTTGCAAGGTAGAAAATATGGGGGAAAAAGACTGGGGTTAAAAAAACATCAAGTATGCAGTAATATAAGTGAGACGGTGACTGATTATATATTATATATACATTATATAGGAGAATGAGAGATGGAGGTGTCAGGTG